ACTCAGTCCCTCTGGCCATCTCGGAGAGGGTCCCGGCTGCTGCTAGAGGCCATGTGTCTGAGGCGGCACCTGCAGCTCCTTGTCATGGGGGCTCCATTCCTGCCGGGAGCCAGATCCATCAACCGTCAGGAGGGTCTCTGAGAAGATGGAGTCTGAAACATGAGCTGATCATGTGACTGACACCCTATTACCCTTGCCATGCTCCGTTCATCAAGAGTAAGGCAGGGTTCCTTCAGGAAACTGAAGGGAAGGCATTATACAGTGACATGAACACCAGGAGGGAAGGCTCTGAGGCGAGCTAGACGCAATGATGTCTGTAATCCTGGTTACTCAGGAGGCAGAGGCAGAAGGGTCACAAGTTCAAGGCCAGCCTTGACTCTATCCCAGAATGTATTTTTAAAAATGTTTAAAGGGCTGGAGATGTAGCTCAACATTCCCTAGTTTCAAGCCCCACTACTGAAAAAAGAACCATCTTGGGGTTCAGTCTTAGCTTAAATTTCAGCAACTGTTGCTCATACTTTCCATATATAATTAGACCCATGGCCTTCACACTGAGCTGTATCTCTAGCCTTTTTTTAAAATTTTGTGGTAGGGTATTCCTAAGTCACTAAGTTGCCCAGGTTGGGTTCAAACTTGGGATCCTCTTGCCTCAGCCTCTCAAGGTGCTGGAGTTACTGGCTTGCACCACCATGCCCAGCTAAGAACTTTTATACAGTTAGTTGCTCATCATACATGCTCTGGTGTGGTCAGAGGAAACCAACATGCAGGAAGATGCTGCAGGGAAGTGTACACCTCTGTTTGAGAAAGACAGGCCAAGCTGTCTTGCCCTAGGTGTGGTGGTTCATGTGCCTCCCTGAGGATCTGCGTGCATGAGCCACTGCAGAGCTTCCTGGGCAGGAGTCCGTTTGAGGAAAAGTTACCAAACCTTGTACACTTCTGCTGAAACAGTATTTCCCATGTTCCAACCACCTGCACTTACCATTTATTTTTTGTAGTAACTCCCTTTTTTAAGATCTAGCTCCTCTTTCCACAGTGACGTCCAGTTACATTTCTCCTACAGTTGTGTCTAGAACGGCTAAGACTTTTCAGCCGTTGCCTGCTTGACTTTGAAATGCAGTCATCGGCGGGCAACTCCTGCCCTGGCCTCACAGCGCTGGCAGTCTGCCCCTGAAAGGGCCACAGCTCAGTGCTTGTTGCTAGCGGACACTACCCAGGGGATGGCCCGGGTGGCCTCTCCAGCGTAGGTCCTAAAGGCTGAGGCTATGTCCCACTTGGTTCCCGGCCCTCTCACCTGCGCCTTAGGAGGGAGCCAGCACCAAATCTAGGGGCCCTAGGTGGAGAGGGAAGAAGCTGATCTCACCAGAGCAGCACCAGCCAAGCCCCTCTGCAGTACCGCAAGGCATCCTGGGGCGCTGTCCCAGTGTCACGTCAGTTGTTACACGGCCGTGGTCACAGTGCACACTCAGCCTGTGGTCTGCAGTCTGCACCCACGCCTCAGAACACCTGACTAGGACAACACTTGGGGTGGGGGAGCCATTCTGCGGGGTGGCAACTCCAAGGGCCCTGGAGTCAAGACTCAGAAGGGAAGAACTGAGCATCTTCCCACCAGTGCCCAGCTAGTGCCAGGATGTGGAGAGTAGGTCCTGAAACCGGAAAAGCAGTGGGTTGCTTTATTAAAGTCTCCATGAGGACACACAGGAGAGCACTACTTTGCCATAAAGGATAAATTTGAGACTTTCATAGGTAAGTGGATGCAGCTTGAGAGCATGATATTAAATGAAATAAATCAGACACACAAGCTTTAATATTGCATGGTTTCTCTTGTATGCGAAACCCAAAATATAAATAAAGGGCAAAATAAAATAAGTATTAGGAAGCAGGGAAATCCTTTTCAAATGGGAAAGGGAAGAGGAGGGGGAGGGAAAGAGGAAAAATAAAAAAGAATTGAAAGAAAAAATTGAAATAGAGCTTTTGCAAATGGGAAGGGACTAAGAGTGGAAGGAGTGGAGAGGGATGGAAGGGTGAGGGATGAAGAGAAGAAATAAGTGTGTTTTGCACACACAGGAACTCCCCACGATGAATGTAGTCATTATGTACTGCAAGCGTGGACAAATGAAAATGAACAGTCTCCATGAGTTACCGCGAAGCGAGGTGGCCCAGCTTTGAAACAAAAGTAAGCAGACAAGATATGAGAGAGACGTTCTCTTTGGGTTAGCTGGGGACATGGTGACACCAGATGGGGTCAGGGGCCCAGCACAGACCCTCCTCCTCACACCGGCCTGCCAGGAGCCCCCGAAGCTGGACAGGAGACAGCCGGGCTGGAAAGGAAAAAAGTAGACACTGCTGGGGACTAGGACAGACATGCACACGCGAGCCATTTCTGGGGACTTCCAAAGGCACTGGGTGAGACCCCTGGCAGGGGTCCAGGACACTGGGCTCAGAGACTGGCACAAGGCAGGCATACCATGAGTAGAAATATTTGTTGACAGCTGATAAAACAGAAGGTGTCGTGGGCACTGTGATCACTCCAAAGGCCACAGTGCCCAGGACTTGAGACTGTCAACTATGTCTCTTGCCTTCTCGTACCCAACACACTAGGTTCCCAGTGAATAATGTGGAGAGGAAGGAAAACAGTGGCCTTTCCTATTTATAGACTTTAATATAAACATGCTTAGAAGGTGAGACCCAAAAATACAGAGAATGTTTCAATTTTTGATGCATGGCCATCAATCCTCCTCAGTATACTTCCTCTCATGTGATCATGCCAATCCCATCATTCAAACTACCTTCTGCAGCAGCTCTGGAATCCTCTTTCATGAATGTCTTTAATCGTGCTCTCGAGGCTGCCTCAATGACCTGCATCAACTCAAAATGTTTACCTTTCATGATCATGTTGACTTTAGGGAACAGCCAGAAATGGCCAGGTGCCAGAGTTGGTGAAGAGGTGGGTGAGGACAGACTGATGTCTTCACGAGCTGCTTTTCCATTGGATGGCGCTGGCAGCAGTGTTCAACTTAGTTTTGATCACAGCTCATAAAGGCCCCACCACAGCTCACACTGTCCTAGAGCACAACCACAGAGCACCCCTCCTAGGCTGGCTCCCTCCTGAAGTTCTGGTGAGCAGTCACCCTGAACATGTTAGAGAGGAGAAGGCACCGAGGCACTGGGGACCCCACTTCCAAAATAATCAGCGATGCTCCTTTAAACCACCGGAAACTTGTAACATGGCATTATGATTCATGCCTGAAACGTCCCCGGAAGTCTCACGTGTCCAGAGCTGATGAGCTTGGTGAAGTGACTAACCACAGGGGTCTAACCCACTGATGAATCTATTAGCTGAATGGGCTCCTTAGACAGTAGGGCCTAATTAATTGAAGGTCACAGAAGGGTAGCTTTAGAGGGTATATTTTGTCCCTGGCCCTTTCCTGGCTCTTCCTGCTCTCTCTGCTTCCTGGCTACCACAAGGTCAGCAGCTGTCCTTGCTCTGCCTTTCCACCACTGGAACTAGCCAACCATGGACTGAAACCTCCGAAAGCATGAGCCAAAGTTAACCTTTCCTCCTTTACACTGTGAATGTCAGGTACTTCGGTCACAGCAATGGAGAGTTGACTAACACACTGTGATGGGTAATCCATGCTCCCTTGGTCTATTTTCTGTGTTCCACCCTTAAGCAAACACCGTCTAAAAGGAATAGTATTAAGGGCCTTTGCTGAGGGGGCCAGTGAGATCATGATGGAAAGGAGAATGTCAGTGTGGGTGAGAGACCCAAGGAGGAATCAGAAGCCTTGGGTCCTGGTTTCAGCCCTATGGAGACCCACCAGCAGTGTGAGTGGAGTGAAATCATTTCCTCTTCTGTAAAGTGAAATTAGTGATAAATGCCTTTCTTACATCATGCTGTTATTATGAAACGCAAATTACAGAACTTGCATTAAAGCTCTGTAACATGTGAGGTTACATACCAACTGAGCGGTTACCATCACCAACACCATCATCATTATCTTTACTGCTGGCTGTTACAAGGTAAAACCAATAAAATGTAAATGCATCAGTCAAACCAGCCCAGTAAACAGAAACCACTCTTAGTATCTGAAACAAGGGGTGCTAGCATGGAGAATGGGAGCCATAGAAAGTCTGGAAACACCACCAAAAGTGGGGAGGCAGCCAGGGAGGATTAAGGGCAGGGGGCTGTTGCTCCCCAAGGGAGATTCCCAGAGGGAAGCCACAGGCACCCCAGGCAGTCAGACTGTGAGAAGCTACAGCTACGAAGCAGCACTCCCGATATACCTCCAAAGTCGGGGAAACACCACGGTTTCTCTTCTGGGCCCCTCTGGCTGGACCCAGCCAGAAACCAGTTGACAAGAGAGTGACAAATGGATGTGGGGCCCACACGCCCTGGGCCATGAGCCACTCCATTCAGCAGAAAGTACAGCAATCTACTGGAGACAGAGCACAACAGAAACCCTCATCCCAGAGAATCCGAGCTCAGGGGAGCGTGGGGCTTACGGTCCCACCCCTGTGCTGTGGGTAGGGCCCCCAAGAGGGGGCACAGCTGGCGAGGGGCAGCCTGGAGCCCAGCAGTGGGACTGCTGGGCTGTGGCTCTCTCCACAGCATTCACCCAAGGATGACAAGTAGCCAAGGCCCCTCAACCTCATGGGATATGTTCTGCTGCTGCTCTGCTGACCATCATTTGGTTCTCTGAGCCCACCTTTCCACAGAAACAAGGTCACAGGCTGAATGTTCCCAGAATGTCTTCACATGCCCACAACAGGGCAAAGAAGCGAGAGTAACATTCAAATTAGTGAGCCCGAGGGCCCAGTCAGCATCCTCCTCCCATGGAGACGGCCATGGAACCAGGGTTTCCCCTCATCCTGACATGGAGGGACAGCAACAGCTGCCCTTTGTCCACTCATGATGTCCTCCTCATCCCTTCCTTCTGCCACAGTGGTCAGAACAGCAGAGGAGGTGACGGTCACAGAGTCCCAGCAAAGGGACTGGGGCCCTGAGGGCTGGAAGCAGGGTATTGCGGTTGCTGTTTGTTTTTCCCATTCTATCTTTGCAACCCCTTTGACCCTCTGGCGACTGGCACAGTCCAGCCAACTGTCATCCTGGCCCCGCCCTCCTGCCATAGGTCTGGACTAGCCCCGGGAAACCATAGGCCGCGTACAGTGAGTTATACTGAGAAATGAAAAATCTATTGCTTTTTTTCCACATGGTGACATCTTCTGGCTAGAGGGGTATGTGTGAGAGACAGAGCCATGTGTGTGTGTGTGTGTGTGTGTGTGTGTGTGTGTGTGTGTGTCTGTGTGCACGTGCGCGTGTGTGAGTGGCCGTGCTGTGTGACAGGGCTGCATGACAGAGCCATGTATGTGTGTGACAAGGCTGTATGTGACAAGGCCATGAGTGTGTGTGTGTGTGTGTGTGAGAGAGAGAGTGCTGTATGACAAGGCCATGTGTGTGTGAAAGGGCTGTATATGTGCGTGACAAGGCCATGTGTGTGACAAGGCCATGTGTGTATGTGAGAGAGACAGTGCTGTGTGACAAAGCCAGGTGTGTGTGTGACAGGGCCATGAGTGTGACAGGACCATGTGTGTGTGACAGTGCTATGTGACAGGGCCATGTGCGTGGCAGGGCTGTGTGTGTGTGTCACAGGACCATGTGAGTGTGACAGGACCATGTGAGTATGACAAGGCCATGTGAGTGTGACAGGGCTGTGTGTGTGACAGGTCCATGTGTGTGACAAGGCCATGCATGTGGCTGGCCATGTTCTCTGGGGCCACCTGCACTCCCTGGGCTGGTGAGAGCTAATGTCAGGCACCAGCCACCCAAGAAGATAAACTTCCCATTGATCCAAAAGGAAAAGGAGGCCCAGACTCCTGGGAACATAAAAGAAATACAACTGGGAAGCTGATTTAGGAACGGGAACTGAACTGCGCTTCCTGCTGTGCAGGGCAAAGCACAGAGAAACATTTCCTCAAAACTTGACAACAGCCTCCCCGCTGAGGAGAATGGGAAGCCGAAGCTCTGACAGCCTCAGCCACCCGTACCCCTCACTGGGAAGCCTGCTGCCCCACAGAGGCAGAAATGGTGCTTCATCCCTTCCTCTTCCCTGGCCCAGTCTCCCTCCGTCTCGTCAGGAAGGCCATGCACAGTTGGACAGGAAGTGCACTGCTCTGCTCTGCAGGTGTGAAGCTGGGCTCCCGAGCATCGCTGGCTGCCGTGTGTTACACCAGCCCTTCCAGACAGGTGCTCCTTCCTGCGCACAGTCACCCTCTGTCCCTAGCACCTAGCACAGCACCTGGTACATAGTAGAACTTCAGGGTAACTCTCGGGAATTAGAGCAGTACATTTGAGGCAAGATCCCCGCCATCCTCAGATGGGAAACAAGAAACTACGGCCATAAAAGCAGGATTCTACTAGAGCACGATGACTTGCTCTAACCTTTTAAAGGATGGGGGTAACGTAGTGATTAAGGTCTGCAGCTCTGAACTCAGAGGGACCCCAATATGAATCCCAGCCCCACAGCGCTGAGCCAGCTGGGCCTTAGCTTCCTCCTCAGAGCAGAGGAGCAGGGTGAAGCCTCCGTACTGTGCGATGCGTGCTCACAGTGTCCCTCCACTGCAGCCGCAGCCACTCAACTATCACCCCAAAGGCAAAGACAACTACAACGTTTACGTCCTGCAGGGAAGGATGGCCGAGACCAGGAAGTGCTCAGTGAAAGTGCCTTCAATGAGTGAATGGGAGAGAGTGGAAGTGGGGGAGACGGAGGGAGAGGGAGAATAAAAGACTAAAAAGAGAGTGCACTGGATGTCAGAAGCACACAGCTTCCCGCATGCCGCCACTTTGTGACTTTGAGCAACTTCACTTCTTGGGCCCAATTTGCTCCTTTTTAAGAATAAAGGTCACAGGACCAGGACACTCCCTGGGGTCCCTTCCCTGCAGTCCTCAGGAGAGCAGGGTGCCTGCTCCTGTGTGCAGTGTGCCCTCATGCCCTGCAGGTGGTGCTGCTGAGTCAGGAAGAAACCTGTTTCACCCACCTGGTACTCAGCAACCAAGTGTGTGCCCTGCAGACCAACTAGGGAAATCTTCGGCACGTTGCAGGATGAGGCACCTGTGCCTGGAAGCGGGGCTCATGGGGGAAGGGACTGGGAGAGAGAACAGGGTGGAGCAGAGGCAGGGACACCAAGGCCCAAAGCCCACCCAGCTCCCCCAGTGCCTTTCAAATGCTCCTCTGCCAGCCCAGCCCAGCCCCGCCCCTCCTGCACCTAACACACGCTCCTGGTGCAGTGGGGGTGGCTGTGTCGTGTGTACCTCTCCTGGCTGAGGTGCAGGGAGTCCCTGGGGAATGCTCAGCCAGAGGTGTCCATCACCACTGTCTGCCGCTGTGTGGCCAGCACCTCACGCAGAGGTGCTCTGCAGGCTGCTGGTGGACCTGCATCTGGTTCTCGCCGAGCCCTGCTGTGTGCCAGACGCTCTGCTAAGCACTGGACTCACAGAGAGGCGTGAGGGCATCAGGGTGCAGAGGACAGTTGTGCAGGAAAATAAAGGAAGGGAACAGAACAGCCTCGACTGCAGACGGGGAACTGAGATTTCCACAGTGGCCCCGGCCCTCGCCCCCCACACCCTGTGACAGAGAGCAGGTCCCAGGGGTCGGGCAGCAGCAGGAGAGGTGCAGAGGGGAGGAAGGCGCTGCAGGAAATCCGCTGCCTTCGCCGCCCGCTATGTCCTCAGCCAGGAGCAGGTCGGCACCAGGCCCAGACAGAAACACAGCAGTGCCACAGGCAGAAGCACTGCCGGAGACAAACTGTGGGCGACAGTGGCCCCTTCAGCAGCTGCTCCACACCATCTGCCCCGGAGTCTGGCTGATCAAACGTGCAGGGGCCTGAAGCGCTTCCTCCACAGGCACGAAGCACCTTCTGTGTGCCGGCACTTTCCACGAAGCACCTGCTCAGCGCCACAGTGGTTACCCTAGAGGCAGCAGGACAGACTCACATCCGCCTCCCCTGCATCAGACCCTCAGCTCCCTCACCCGACGCACATACAACTCTGCATAAGTCATTTCACCCCTGGGCTTCAGTTTCCCCAGCTGTGAAATGAGAAGGCTGAGGACCACATCTCACAGCACTACTGTGCTGAATAAACTGACTCGTAGTGAGGGCTTCAAACACAGCACACATGTATGTCAGTGTGTGGGCTGCTGCTGCAGGCGTGAGCTCTGAGAATGCCAAGAGCCAGGTGATGAGTAGAAGCCCAGGATTTAAAGACGAGCGAGTGAGACCAGGGCCTGGGCTCCCACAGCTCAAAGCCTAGGAAAAGCAAGGCTCTGGGAAGAAGCAACTGTGGAGGGCTGACCGAGATCTCTGCTCAGAGCAATCACAGAAAAGCTGGCACCGTCTGTGAGTCACAGCCAGACACAGACCGTGTGCAGGTGTGGCCTGCATCGCAGAGCTTTCTGGGACTCCGCATCACCTCGTATTCCACAAGGGAGGAGCCAGGAGCCACTCTGCCAGGCTGCGGACCAGAGGCCCTGCGTAAGTAGGATGCCCAGCCATAGGAGCAGGAAACTGTCTCTGGTGCCTGAGCAGATGGCCCCACCCACCCTTCTCCTGAGGGCCCATCACAGAGCCTGCCCAGCCTGTGCCCAGCATGGGAGAAGCCCACAGGGGCCGTTCATGTTTCTGTTGGACAGCACCCCGCCCGTCTTCCAGGGGCTGGGAGTCTGCGCTGCAGGAGCCCCCCCGGTCTTCTCCAGGAGCCGCGTCCTCCTTCTGCTCTCCGGGGCCTGGCAGGTGCTCCGCACACATCTGAGAGACAACAGGAAGGCCTGGCGCAGTCCAGGTGAGCAATTAAAGGCAGGGAAGGCCCAGGTGTAAGGAGCAGAGTGACGAAGCAGAGAGCAGGCCTCCCGGGTCACTCCCAGCCACCCACCTGGGCCCTTCCTGCACCTGTGTCCCACTGCGCCGCAGTCCCGAGGAGCCCCTGCTGCCTGTGTGCCGTCTCCCTCAGGCAAAAGCTCCATCTGCCCACCGGACGCCAGCATTAACTGGTACAAAAACCACAAACCCCAGCCATTTGCCACCTGGAAATCATCTAAGACCCACACTGAAATCCATTCAGCAGTGTTGTACCCCAGCTGTGTGAGTGGTGAGTGTGTTTAAACCAAGCTGGCAAGAAGTTGTGAACCCAAGTAGAAGCTAAGGAAAAATTCAGGCAGTGGAAAGAAAGCTTTTGCTCAAACACAGGGAGTGCAACAGACGGCTAAACTGGTTACGGCTTGGGGAAGGATTGTCAAAATCACAAAGACAGACCCCAAAGTTCACTGGGATATGTGGGGTTCACTCCACTCTGCCTGCTGTTAAATACACTGACTTGTAACACTGAGCAAGGGAAACCCTTGGCAGAGGATGCATGAGAAGCTGGAGGTATGCATTTAGATGCGCACTTACAAACATGCACAGGAAGACGCTCGCACGGGGAATTCTCTGTCTGCGGGATCTACCCAGCACAGCACAGCCTGGTTTTGTGCGTTCTGTTTAAAGATACCTGGTTTACTGTATCGTCCATGCACTAACAGACAATGGCGCCGTTACCCCTGCTGAGCACTCGCTTCCTCTGGCAGGCATTTCCTGTGCTTGGGAACACTAGCACTACATTTGGGGACTTTTTCCACAGTGATGTCACCCCCAAAACATGGGACTAAACAGGCCACAAGTATAAGCTAAAGCCGACAAACAGAGCGCATCCTCATTCTGCCCACCTTGCTAGGCACGAGGGGGACAAATTTCTTCCCCACTCTGAGCCAGGAGTGACAGAGAAAAGGCTGTGAGCGCTGACCAGGGGTGACAGGTAAACACCAGCGAGCAGCGGAGCTCGCGGACGGGGTGATAAGTGGTGGCGATCACTCCATGTGCACCTATTTGCCTGAGAGGTGAACATATGACACTGCTCTCTGTGTGCTTGGAATACATGCATATCACACATCAAACTCTTGCCTAGTTGCAGTGCTGGCCCTCAGGGGCTTACTCCCCAGCTTCTCCAGGGCCCCTCCAAGCTCTGAGAGGGCCAGGCTGGAGGAGCCACGGCTCAGGAATTTAGCCAGGGCTTCTCTGAGGGCCGAGATCAAAACAACATCCCCTGCCCACCCGGGAGTCACCCCACAGCATCCTCCAGAACTGCGACCACTCGGGTCAAGGCCCTTCAGGATGCTGTTCCGCAAAGTCCAGTGAACAGCTGGCATGTCCCTGGGCCGGTGCCACTGTCCTCAGGTCCGTGCCTGTGTCCACACTGCCAGACCCACAGGTGAAGCTGTGTTGGGTTCATCTTTTGTGTTCCCAGTGCCCACAAGCGCTCAGTAGCCCTTGAATATTTCTCTCTTTTTTGAGACAGAATCTCCCTGGGCTTTCCAAGCTGACTTTGAACTCACTAGGTAGCCCAGTCTGGCCTGGAGCTCAGGGCGATCCTGTCTCAGCCTGCCCAGTGTGGGGATGACAGACTTGCTCTTCTATGCCCAGCGGCCCTCAAATATTCTGAATCACTGGTGGCAGAAGAGCAGGAATATCAGAGGCCATCGAGCCCCGCTTCCACAGATGGATCAGAGTTGGTCAGAGACGTGGATGCTCAGGCCCAGCCCCGACCTCCTGATTCAGAGCTTCCAGAGTAGCCCAGCAATCCGTGTGGTCACAAGGTTTTCCGAAGATGCTTATGTAAGACAAGTTTTCCAGAATATTCTTTTGCCTAGTAACTGGTGGAAGCTCTGAGATCATCACCCTCACACTTCACAGCTCGGAATGAGATGTGAGGAGAACTGTTCCCCTGAGGTCCTGGGTGGCTCAGGGCAAAGCTGGAGCTGACTCTTGGTCCGGGTTCCCCTGGTGTCACACAGAGCAGGCTGCCGACGCCTCAGGAGTGCAGCCCTGCAGTGTCTCCACAGACAACTGTGGGCCTCGCTCCCGCTCCTCTCCGTCTCTGTCTTCCCTTCCTCCTCTGTTCCCTCTTTTCGTCCTCTCTGTGCCTCTGTGTCTGTTTGTTTCTCTCTGCATTTCCTCCTGGGGAAACAGCTTGAGCTCCCTGAGAGCTCATTTCCTCCGCCTGTCGAATAGGAATAATCACAATAACACAGACTCACACACTTATGCCCACGTTCAAGTCAGAGCATACTTGCTGCCTCCAGAGCAGAGGACCCACAGAATCCCACAGTCCCCCATCTCGCCAGCCCCTGGCCCCCAGCCTGGCTGCCCAGCCCCCTACTTTCTCTGTGGTGCACCCTTGGTTACACAGTCAGTCAACATGAGGAACATTCTGGAAGCCTTTAGGGTTTCTCAGAATGAGTCATTTTCTCAAAAATAACAAAACTCTCGACATCACTTGATTTCAGCATTCTCGCGGGGCTCTTGTAACCTCTTTTGCAATTGCATTCCAAGCACGCCTGACTAGGTTCTCAAGCCCAGAGCAAGGACAAGGACTCTGCTGACAGAAAGAGGCCAGGCCCAGGGTCTGCAGGTCCTGCTCAGAACACAGCTGGGCTGCAGATGCAGCAGGGGAAATGTCTGTAGGCCAGAGAGCAGCGAGTAGGGGGCCAAGCCAGCCCGGCTGCGCCCACAGTTGCCAGTGGGCTTGGACAAACTCACCATGCCTGCCTCCATCCTAGTCAGGGCTGGCTCATCACCCTGAGAGCAGCCGTTTCCCAGAGCCCGTGTCACCTCCCCACACGAAACAGGCACTCAAAACCCCCAGGCCCACGCCAGGGCCGTCTCCCAAACCCCCTTTACCCACAGTGTCTTGTTTATTCATCAGTGCTAACAATCCAGTGATTTTTCTCCCCTTTCTAGATAGGAAAACCAAAGCTCAGAGAAGTTAAGTAGCCCACGGAAGACCACACAGGGAGTAGCAGAGCTGCGGTGGAGACCTAAGTGTGTCCAGCTTTCTGCCTTGTCTTTCCCAAAGCTCAGCTTGCAAACACCGCCGCAGTCAAAGCCCTTGGAGCATCACACCACCCGGTACTTAGCATCTGGATTTTAATACATTTCCTGTGCCTGTATTCTCTAACACCTTTAAAGCAAGAAGGACAGCTTGCTTATGCTCTATCCTCCACACAATTCTACTCATTGACACATGAGGTGTGACCAAAAAACACAGTCTGTTTAATTTTTTTTAACGTAGTACAGTAATGTGTAGCCGTAAAAGATAGACGGTCATTGAACTCTTGCTAGAAATTGAAATATTAAAGCATAGGAGGAGGACTTGCTCCTCTGTCCTTCCAGGAAGAGGAAACAGAAACAACTCAACACCTATTAGGTGTCCTCCACCTGCCCTCTGGGGGAGAGAGGGTCCCATGCTAGCCCCTTGAGCTCTGGGATCACCACATGGGTGCCCCCCAGACCTCCTGTGCCTGACGGCCTGGTGTTGCGCCCACGGCACCCACACCCAATGGTCATGGCTCACACAGAAGCTCCTGCCTGGCCACCGCTGCAGGGTAAATGCTGCCAAACATGCAAGTGTTTGGGGGCTGGGGTTGAAGGGTCCACTCTGCTCCCCAATTCTACTATTTCCTATATATGCCTTTAAGAGAGTTACTTACACTCTTGGATCCTTGGCTCTTCACAGGCAAACAGCCCTTGGGCTTGGACTGGACAGTCGGGCCTCTCAGCAAACACTCCAGGTGTGGATCTCCATGAAACTGCGTGGGGCGTGGTGGCAGGGCTGTTTCAGGACTTTCTGAAGTGAGAAATATGAGCCACCATAGGACACAAGATTGCTTTTGTGACGATGTGAACAATGTTTTAAATTTTCATAATTATGCATCTACACCTTTGGCAACCTGCCGTGCCTCACAAGCCAATTGGGTTTACGTGTGTGAGGGCCTGTCACTCTTAAAGGCATCTCATTTAAGAATGATAAGAGAACTGACTTCAATTCCAAGGCGGCAGCAGGCAGGTGGAAGGCAGATGGCGAAAGAACCACCTGAGGGGAACCAGAATTCCGGAAGTGCCAGGCTCTGGGTCCCGTTCAGGACAGTCGCAGGTGCTGGGGGCCGGCGGGGGCCTCCTGTGGGAGCACAGGCTCCCCTTAGGCCATGCTGTCTCTCCAAGGTGCTGACAGGTGCCCAGGCAGCAGAAGATTCTCAGGTGGGGCTGCTACTCACCTTAGACACCTCCCCAATGCCCTCAGGCCTCTACAGAAAAAGAAAGAGACAAAAGACCTCAGGGAGGAAGCCTCAGGCAGCAGCTCTCCTCTCTGCCTGACTCTTAGACCCCATGGGAAAGGCAGCCATGGGCTGGCAGGGCCTTGATTCTTCAGGGATCTCTGGGTTCCAGCCACAAAGTCACGTTTTGGGATTGTATTTCATTCTTGTTTTTTGCTTTGTCCGTTTTTTACAGTACAGGGCATTGAACTCAGAGCCTTTGCACTGAGCTACATCCCCAGCATTTTTATCATTATTTTGAGAAAGAGTCTCCCTGAGTCACTAAGTTGCCCAGGCTAGGCTCAAATTCATGCTCCTCCTGCCTCAGCCTCCCAGAGTGCTCAGATTACAGGCGTGCTCTTATTTGTGACAGTAATAAAAATCCTCCAAAACACATCTTCCAGGCCAGATCCTTTCACCAGTGTTCTGCTGTTTTTTGACCCTGCTCCTACAGGAAGAAGACAGACAAGGCTGCCAGTCATGCGGTGAGTACACGCAGGCTCCCAGGTGCCGAGTCTTGGTCTGGGCCCAGTCCTGCCTCTGAAGCTCTTTCCTTGCAGAAATTCACGGTAACCTGAGGCAGGGAAATAGGCAGTACTCCTGCACCACGGCTTCCGGTCAGAGCGGGCAGGTGGCAGGTGTGTGGCAGGTGCACGACAGCATTACTGGGGTGGGCTGCACCCTGGCACATCCCTGGCCTGGCACACAGGCCCGGCAGCCACCCTGAAGTCTCTGCCTTCCCTGTCTGTGCCCATACACTGGGGTCAGCTTCAGGGGGACAGGGTGGGCTCAGCACACCGTGGCCCCGGGTGAGCCAGGCAGATGGCTGCGACCAAGCTCCTACTGCTCCGCATGCTCTGCCTCTGACCCCAGCACCCAAAAAGCTGCTCCATTTCACAGAGAGGGAAACTGAGGCCCACAGAGCAGAAACTCCTCCAGGGACCCCGGTATGCACCCAGGAATGCGCACACTGCAGTGCTTCCTTCTGGCCGTGATGGAATCAGAGGGAGCTTTGGCGCTGTGGCCTGGTTGTCCTCACTCCGGTAGGCTCTGCACGGAGATCCCACTGTGTCCCTCACTGCCCTGCTAGCACCCTCCATGGCTCCCCGGTACCTCTGGATAAACTCCTGCCTCCACATAAAACAGTGAGGTGTTGCCATGAAGCCAGTGGAGCCCTCAGAATGAAACTCCCCTCCCTACATCAGAGACACAATGACCTCTTCTTTCCGGGCCACAGCTCTCCAACCAGGTGATAGCGCTGACCCCAGCCACTCAGTCCCCAGTGCCGACAGAGCGCCTGGTAGAGTGCTGTGGAGAGCAGAGATGGGGTGGCCCACAGCACCACCACGCCCCTCAGACCCCAGGGCAGCCCTGCACAATTGGACCACGTGGCTGCTTCTAACAAAGGGCGGCACAACGCAGGATGGAAGACATTGGCGAGCTGCCTCCCCTGTCTCTACCGTTTGCCACAGAGAACACTGAGGCCGCAGGTTTGGCTCTGGGTGATGCATTGTGTGACTGGATTGCAGGTAACAGGGCCATTTTGCCTGTTACTGCAGCAGTGCAGACCCCGTCCTAGCCATCATTCAGCCTGAGCTGGCGGTACACGCGGAGAACTGGGCACGGGAAGATTTCCTGCTAACATCACACCTCTAAAGTGATAATGACCAAAAGGGCGGTATCTGGAGAGCTGCAGTGAGTTTGAATCTGAACCCAGCACCAGCTCCCAGATCCGTCCAGCCCCTTCACACCTCTGGGCCTTGCAGCTCCTGCCCCAGCCAGGCATGCTGTACCCCTAGGCCAGCAGGAGCCGCTCATCCTCGCAGTTTGGCCCAGCACCACCTCGCAGGAAAGCACCACTGCCTGGATTCATCACGTTGCTCCCTTGGTCTGCTCAGTGCTCCTTGTCTCTGAGTGTGTTCCATCACCCTGAACTGGTCCTCTTTGTGCTGTTCTTCCTTCCTTACATAAATGAAGGGTTCCTGCCTGGCTGTACATACAAACTCTGCTGCGCCTGAACACAGAGGCAGAGTACATACCACGCACACATTGAGAGGTGCTCTTGATTAGAAGTAGGAGAACCCCAGGAGAGCAGAAGAAAGCAGCCAGATGTTCCCCAGCATGGAGCACACAGGGAGGCAGGGCCGCATCGGGGCTGTGTCCCTGTAGCCCTACACTTCCCTGCACGTTCATAAAGTGTCTGCCAAGGCTCCAGCCATCATCTCTGTATGCCAGTGGGAAGGAGGAGAAAGAAGAGAGACATCCCAGCACTTGCCTGTCACTGCTAAATCACGTTTCAACTGGAATATAGGTTTGCAGGGATGGGGCAGAGGCATCCCAAAAGGGAGGAAGGAAGTCCTAACACCCTCCTCCCGGGACACCGCACCTCCCAGGCAGAGAGAAGCCACTGCCCACACCGCAGACTGGCACCCAGCAGTCTGTTCCTCAGTGGGGGCCCGACTGGTTTATCCCTTGGGTGGTTGCTCTTCATTTCCCTCTTCACAGAGAGCCTGAGATTCGCAGCCAAGCAGACTGGGTTGGAATTCCAGCTCCCTGTGTCCTGGCCATGAGGATTTGGTCAAGTGTACCTCTCCCTGCCTCGATTCTCTATCTGCAGAGTGCAGTGTTTACACCAGTCCTGAGGCTGCTGTGGGAATTAAATGACACCACACTCGTGAAGCACTTGCTGCGTGCCGGCCCCAGAGTGGCGCTGTTCTCAGAGACCCACTGCTGTTTTTAGGCGGGAACTGTAAGCAAGTGCTTGTCATAAACGTCTCCCTATACACCACTCCACAGCGATTCCACTCTGGATCCCTCCAGATTCCTCCAGGTTGATATCTGAGAAGAGAGCAAAGTTCTAATCCTGGTTCATCCTAAAAATAGCCAGTTCTCTGTCCATTCTGTCAGCTCAGCAAGCTGACGGCTCTAGGGAACTGGGAGATTGTGAAAGGCGTCTTTCTAAACAGGGGTCAAATGTTCTTCACCCGAAAGGAACTCACGGAGGCTGTGCATGAAGATGCAGCCAGGCCAGGGCTCTGGGTCCTCAAGGACAGGCGGAAACCAGGACACTGTGTGTCCTAGACAAAGGGTGCTTTTCTCTTATGTATTCACCCAGCCATTCATGTCATCGGAAAGGTTCTTCCTGAAAGCTACCAGTTCAGAGACTACGGAGTGCAGAAGATGCAGAAATAATCAAGTGTGCCTGTTGGTCTGTCTTTGAGTTCTCCCAGTCAGACTCTTTGATGAAATCCTGTGTGTTCCAGAATAGTAGTATTTGGCAGTGATGGTAACAACTATTATGTATCAGGTTGCACACAGTTTCAAAGCTCTCCAGACATCACCCACTCTCAATGCTTTCTTAACCTCACAAGATAAATATTTTTGTCCCCATTCTGCTGAAGAAAGAAATGAGGGGTCAAAACTTCAATAACCTCTCAAAGCTCTCCACCTAAAAAGATTCCCGTCAGGGCCAGACATCAGGGGCCCGTCTAACACAAGGAAGGGTTACAGCTGTCACAGAAGCAGCAGACAAATTTGTCTCATGTCGCTTTGCGCTGACCAGCTGAACGTTCTCAAGCCCTTCTTCCGACTCGGGCTTCTTCTCCCCAGGGTCTCTTCAGCCAGCCACACCCCACTCGCCTGCCAAGGCCCGGCTCCCTCTGTCAAGAGGGTCCTCCCAGCCAGCGTCGGTCCTGAGCTCTCGGGGCTGTGCATCTGTCCACACCGTTGGCCGTGACTTTGGCTTGTTCATCGCTAATCCATGAACACAGCATAGAAAATACTTCCGTCATCTCTGCGTCTCCAGGACCCGGAATTCATGAGCAGATCCACACGTGAGCGTGTGAGTGAAGAGGGCTCCAAAGGCCACAGGGCCTGATTCGGAGCCAGCCCATCACTGGTGCTTGGAACTCATTTACAGAGTGGAATTAGATATGAAAATCGACCAAACAAGACTGGCAGGCAAGAGAACTTCTCACACCAGTCTTCAGGAGCCATGAGCACAAAAGCACAAGGGGAAGGTGGTCCCGGCTTCAAAGGCTGAACCACCCCACACATCTCAGCCAGCTCTCTGCTCCCCAGCTGCTTGCCAGATTCCCCAGCTGCCACCAGAAGGGACAAAAAGCAGAAGTCATGTTATTATTTTGTAAAACTTTGGGGGAAAACCAATAGCTTAATCCTATGGCTTCCACACCCTGCTCTGTCCTTCCCTCCCTATCCAGCTTCTTCCTTTCAAACAGAGAAGAAAATCCAAATGTGCCTCTTATAAAAATCTGTTATGCTGAGCATAATGACACATGCTTCTAACCCCAGCACTTTGGGAGGCTGAGTCAGAAGGATTGTAAATATGAGCCCAGCCTGAATAGTTTAGAATTTAGAGAGACCCTGTCTCAAAATTTTTTTAAAAATTAAAGGTAGGGAAAGCAGTTCATTGCAAATGCCCTGGATTTAATCGCCCCCTCCATACACACAC